GATTTTCCTCTTTCGGTTTTCATTTGTGAGGTTAACATTTCATTCTTATCAACCGGAATACTTTTAATAATTCTTTGAGCCGAAATCAACCCTACGTGGATGCATCATATATTATTTTCAAATGTAAATGATGCGAAGGAGAAGATTAATCATACTAACGGGATTCTGTGTCTTCTGCTTTTTCGTCATCTGAGATGTCCAGTATAATTTTTGTGATTAGACCTGCAGAATTATTAATACGAGTTCCAACAAATGATTCGAAACGCTAAACACAAATGCGCAAAAAATCAGTTATTATCTGATATATTTCAAACAAATAATGCTAAAAGGCTACCGTATTTCTCATCTTGACATTAAATTTCCCATAATTCACACGAAAATATTGATCTTCCTAAATTTAAAGTCAATTATTAAAGTAATAAACACCAAACTCCTAGTGCAGATTTACCCCAACTTACATTAAAAATTTCCTCGCCTTTCCGTTGCTAAGAAAAAAAAATCTCATGTTCAATAATATTCATGAAAGTAAAAATTTTTTAATCCACTTTATAAAAATAACAAACCTTTGCCGGCCTGTCAAAAGTAACAGCGTTTATTTTCCGTTTCTATAATGTTCGTAATAGAATTATTTGAAAAATTCAAAGAAAACCACAAAGCAAAATTGAATAGATCATCACCAATCCAGTTGCGGCTTCATCCACATCAACATCACCTGCAAGTTTAGCTTTAACTTCTGCCACTTGTTTTTTAGTGGGAATGAAATTCGTCACCTTTGCTAATTCACGTTGTTCAGCTTCAGAAGCCTTATCTTGAGCCGATTTTGAATCAGTAAAGTTGAAAGGTGTAATGTAATGTTTCTCGATCATTTTAGAAAAAATTTCTTTAACATCACGGTATTCTAACATAATATACAATTTCATTTAATTCCTAATATTTTTTTTCAACTCATTAACTAAATATACATACTACTACTCGTTTTTTTAGATATTTTTAAATCTTTTTCAACGAGTTTCTTAAAGGTCGTTTTACCATTAAGCAACATAAGCCTAATAATTTCACTTGCTCCCTGAAAAAAAAAGTATCAATATAATAATACTCTAGGTCTAAACTTTTTTTGAAAAGATCGATAACAATTACCCTACAACCAATCCATTCATTGGCGTTTTTAATATAGATACCAAAGTTCAACCTTGTCAGAATTTCATCTTTCTCAATGGAATAATATATTCCAATTCGTGAGCCTTCCCTTGTTTCAGTCCAATATACTATATTATGCTGTATTAAAATAAAAAGGCTTTCCCGTGTTTTTGATAAAGTATACTTCGCAAATCTCGCTATTAGTGGTAACGGAAGTCGACCTTTTTGTAGAAGAACTTTAGCCACTTGCTGTTATAAAATTTAAAGAATTATAATTATAAGTTAAAATGTGCGGATAGAAAGCTTTTAGTATTTACTTCAACAATTGCACCGAAATCGTCTCTGATAATATAGCAACACAGACGTATACTTGTTTCGGCCATTATTGTAAAAATGAAAAAAAAATAAATAAATCAAGCCTTATTTATATTTCAAATAATCAATTAGATTTTCTATCTTACGTAATCAAACAAAGCAGCAGCAGGTGTGCTTTCGAGTGAAATTTCCGAATTACAGTATGTACTGTATTTACGTAACCGACGACAGTAATCAACACGTAACGAATTTCGCGAATTTCGTGACTTCGAGAAATTTTTAATTAAATCTCGCGGATCCAATATAATTAAAATTAAAATTTTGCATAATAAAAAATATAAATGAATCATTAATTATTTTATAAATTCTTATTAAAAAAATTTTTTTATTAAATAAATAAATTATACATAAAAAAAAATACTATAAAATAACAACAATAATAATTATTATTTTTTTTAATAGGATTAGTGAAATATGAATCTCTTTTTTTTTTTTTTTTTTTAAAGAGCAGGATAATGATCCTTATAGTTATTTTATTATAATTTTAAAATAATTACAATTTACAAAAAAAGATATATGTCTCTCTAAACATAGTAGAGTTAAATGCCAGGCTCAGTGGCCCTCTATCTCTGCTCTGGGCACTCCCAAGACATATAGTAAAATGAAATTCAAAACCTATATAAAACATCTTGGGTGACATCTAGTTTCCTAGAGGTAGTTTGATTACCTAAACACATGAAGGTGCTGCAACCATAGTTTCACAAGTTGGCCTTCAAGTCATAAGTAGGATTAGTACTCTTGCTTTCCAAATATGACTTGATATATGGCAAGAGGGGTTGATGGTGGTATTATTGTCAGATTTGGTTCATAATTGGTTACCTTGATGCATAAAAGCACTGCAGCTACTTTATGCAGGTTGGCCTTCAAGCCACAAAAAGGATTTGGTATATCCACTGTTCAAGTGTGGTGGAAGTGTCCAATAGATAGAGTTAAATATGATTTTCTTATAGACATTGTTATCTAACCTTGCACATGAGACCTATATTGTTGAGGAGTGAGTGATTAATGTCATCAGCTCTATTTGTAGGAGTAACTAGAATCCTTAATCTTTATGTATTGTCTTACTAGATTTCCATAAGACGTAGTATCTAGAGATTCGACCAATAATAGTGTGCACTGGTTTCTTAGATATATTTAGTCTAGCTATCAACAAGTAAACAATGCTGGATTTGATAATGATAGTTATGTCGATCTTTTGGAGGGGATAAACCATCTGTCCTTTTTCTGAAAAATCATGGAAGAGAAAAACTTGTTAAAGTTCACTTCTTGAAAAAGGTCACCACTTCTTATATGGTTCTTGAGAAAATGGAATCAACTGGCCAGAGAAGTGATGAAATGAAGCATGGTATTTTTAGAAAGAAGGAGAAGCCTAGAAAGAAAAAACTTCAGGGAGAAGGAAAAAACCTAACTTTGATAAGAGAAAAGAGAAAAAAGAAAAGGAGAGAAGAAAAGTATAAAAGGAGGAGACAAAAGAGGAGAGAGAGAAAAAGAAGAGGAAAATAGAGATTTGTAACCAAGAAAGAAAAAGGGGAAAGGAGGAAGCGAAGACAAAAATAAACAACTCAAAAAGTTTCCTAAAAAGGAAATTTTCAAGCGCAGAAGGGGGAGTGGGAAAGAGTTTTTTTGATAAATTTCTTTTTCTTTTGTTAAAAATATATAATATTTTATCATTTTTTAATTTGTATTTTTTGAAAAATCAATAGAAAGTTGATAATAATAAATATTTATTTATCAATAAATTAAAATTATTAATAGCTATTATTAATTTTCTTTTTTTTTTTTTTTTTTTTTCCCATAGTCAAACAAACACGTATTGTTTATTAAATCTTTTCAGAAAACAAATAATGTGTGATACATTATATTGCATAAACTATTCTATTGCCTTGAACACCTGTCTTAGACAAATGTCTCTAGATGTAATTTTGGAAATGAAAAAGATTGCTCTCTTTTCTATCTATCTACCTATGGAGTTTGATATTAAAGATCATTGCCTGCAGTTCATCACTACAGTTCATCTAAGCAAAATCTAGACTACTTTTATATTCCCAACCATTTTTTTTTCTCTTTGATCCATTCCCATATCAATAGTTTATTTTGAGCTTGATCTGGAGTAGGTTCTTCTATATTTGTGTCTTGTGAAATTCTGAAGATCATGTTTGTTGTCACTTCTTGTAGTTCTTTTCTCTTGCTATTCGAATTCTTCTTCCTTCCTTTTCTTATCCAGCCGTCATCTCTATTTCCTCATCTATGCATTTTCAATTTCCTTTCTGAGTTTTGTAATCTAATGCACTGGTCATTCCATATCTTTTTCCAAACTTTCTTACAGATGGTTCTAAAAAACTTATTCAGCAGATATTTTGCTTTTTCCACTTTTATTTCCATTTCTTTTAATGATTGAGTCCACTTTGCAATATCTTCTTTCTGGAACAGTTCCAAACAAAGATCTATAATATCCTTTCCTGAGAAGAACTTATTCTTGTATCATTCTGTAAAAGTTCTGAGAAGGTGTTATGTCTATTCTGAATTTCTTTTTTGTGTACTGCTTTTAGCCACCTGCTGAATATCTGATCTGAAGTTTCGTTCCATATTTCTTCCCAAAGTTTAATTATGTGTATACAGGAGAGAAGGTGCGTGAGAGATTCTTTTTCTTGTTTGCAATAAATGCATTCTATCAGGTCTTTGTATTTCTTAGGAAATCTCTTGCTCATGTTGTCCAGTATTGGTAGCTCATTGTGCATCATCTTTATATGGAAAGCTTTTTCTTTGACTTGCTTCATTGATGTTTTCAAGGATTTTTCTACTCTGTTCATTTTCCAAAAGCTTCTCCAGTTATGATTCTCTTGATTGTCTATTTCACCATACCATCTTTTATGTATGAGGTTCTAATTATCCCATTTTGTTAGTATGCCTCTTTTGTATATTTCTTTAATAAAGTCTCTAATTCCTATATTGATGGAAATTCTATTCCAACAAAGTGTTGTCAAGGCTTCTTGTCTGTATCAATTAGTTCAAATAATTTCTGATTTTTCTTTAGCTTCTTTTGCAAGAAGATCTACCTTGTTGTTGACTTTATCTTTGCTATGTGCCTTGACCTTGGTCATTTGGATTGTAATCTGCTTCTTATGTATTAGGTCGATACATTTTATTCATAATTGCCAGTTTTTCTGCTTTCTGTTTCTTTTTCCAATATCTCTAATATGGGGATTTAGAAGTTTTTGAAGAGTATTGATATAGATAGCACTGTCTGTTCTTATTTCTACTTGACTTTTTAAAGATAGGATGATTGCAACAAGTTTTGCCCAAAGTGCTGATGGCCAATTATTCACTTCTGAAATCTC